TTTTTCTATTTCTGTGAGGAATGCCATTGGGATTTTGATCGGAATTACATTAAATCTATACAGTGCTTTTGGTAGTATGGTCATTTTGATAATATTAATTCTGCCTATCCAAGAGCAAGGTAGATCTTTCCATCTTCTACGGTCTTCTTTGATTTCTCTCTGTAGGGTTCTGTAGTTTTCGTTGTATAGATCTTTCATCTCTTTTATTAAGTTGATTCCCAAGTTTGTTTTTTTTTTCCTGAGGCTATTGTAAATGTGGTAGTTTTCCTCATTTCCCTTTCAGAGGATTTGTTGCTGATACACAGAAATGCCTTTGTTTTATGGGTGTTAATTTTATATCCTGGTATGTTGCTGAATTCATTTACTAGTTGTATAAGTTTTCTGGTGGAGCTTTYTGATCTTCTAGGTATAGAATCATATCATCAGCAAATAGTGCCAATTTGAGTTCTTCTTTACCTATGTATATCTCTTTAATTTCTTTCATCTAATTGCTCTGGCCAGTGTTTCAAGAACTATGTTAAATAGAAGTGGTGAAAGAGGGCATCCCTGTCTTATTCTAGTTTTTAGAGGGAATACCTTCAATTTTTCCCCATTTAGAATGATGGTGGCCTGGGGCTTACAGTAGATAGTCTTTATAATGTTGAGGTATTTTCCTGTTACCCCTAGTTTTTCTAGCGTTTTGAACATGGAGGGGTTCTGTATTTTGTCAAATGCTTTTTCTGCATTTATTGAGATGATCATATGATTCTTATCTTTGAGTCTATTGATATGATAAATTATATTTTTTGGTTTCCAAATGTTGAACCAACCTTGCATCCCTGGGATGAATCTCACTTGATTGTGGTACACTAACTTTTGATGTCTTTGTATTCAATTTGCCAGAATTTTATTGAGAATTTTTGCATCTATATTCATTAGAGATATTGGTCTAAAGTTTTCTTTTTTTGATGTGTCTTTTTCTGGTTTTAGAATCAAAGTGATATTAGCCTCAGAGAATGAGTTTGGAAGTGCTCCCTCTTTTTCTATTTCCTGAAATACATTGAAGAGTATTGATATTAGTTCTTCTTTAAAAGTCTTGTAGAGCTCAGCTGTGTATACATCCGGTCCTTGGCTTTTCTTGGTTGGTAGGCTTCTGATGGCATCTTCTATTTCATCAATTGATATTGGTCTATTTAAATTGTGTATATCATCCTGATTCAATCTGGGCAAATCGTATGACTTAAGAAATTCGTTGATGCCTTCAATATCTTATATTTTATTGGAGTGTAAGTTTTCAAAATAATTTCTAATTATCCTCTGTATTTCTATAGTGTCTGTTGTGATATTACCTTTTTCATCATGTATGCTGGAGAGTTTTCTCTCTCCTTCTATTTGTTAGTGTAGCTAGGGGTCTGTCAATTTTATTTATTTTTTCAAAGAACCAACATTTGCTTTGTCAATTTTTTCAATTGTTTTCATTTCAGGTCTAATTTTAATTACTTCCTGTCTTCTACTGCTTTTGGTGTTGATTTGTTCTTCTTTTTCTAGGGCTTTGAGATGAAATGTTAGGTCATTTATTTGTTGATTTTTTCTTCTTTGAAGGAATGAAGTCCATGAAATAAAATTTCCTCTGAGTACTGCTTTCACAGTGTCCCAGCAATTTCGATATGTTGTGTCTATGTTCTCATTTACGTCTAAGAATTTTTTAATCTCCTCCTTGATGTCTTCTGTAACCCATTGTTCATTCGGTATCATATTGTTTGGTCTCCAAGTGTTGGAGTAATTTTTATTTTTTAATTTGTCATTGATTTACAATTTTATTCCATTATGATCTGATAAAATGCATAGTAGTATCTCTACTTTTTTGTATTAAGAGTTGCTTTGTGGGCTGGGGATGTGGCTCAAGCGGTAATGCACTTGCCTGGCATGCATGGGGCACTGGGTTTGATCCTCAGCACCACATAAAAAAATAAAATAAAGATGTTGTGTCCACCGAAAACTAAAAAATAAATATTAAAATATTCTCTCTCTCTCTTTAAAAAAAAAGAGTTGCTTTGTGGCATAGTATATGGTCTATTTTAGAGAAGGATCCATGTGCTGCTGAGAAGAAAGTGGACCCGCTTGATAAAGGTTGAAATGTTGTATATAAGTTAAGTCAAAGTTATTAATTGTATTATTGAGCTCTATTGTTTCTTTATTCAATTTTTGTTTGGAAGATCTATCCAGTGGTGAGAGAGGTATGTTAAAGTCACCCATGAGTACTGTGCTGTGGTCAATTTCACTCTTGAACTTGAGAAGACTTTGTTTGATGAGCAAAGCTGCTCCAATGTTTGGGGCATATATATTTATGGTTGTTATGTCTTGTTGGTGTATGGATATCTTGAGCAGTATATAATGTCCATCTTTATCTCTTTTGATTAACTTTGGCTTGAACTCTACTTTATTTATTTATTTATTTATTTATTTATTTATTTAGAGAGAGAGAATTTCTTAATATTCATTTTTTAGTTTTTTGGCGGACAGAACATCTTTGTTTCTATGTGGTGCTGAGGATCGAACCGGGGCTGCACGCATGCCAGGCGAGCGCGCTACCGCTTGAGCCACATCCCCAGCCCAAGTCTATTTTATTTGATATGAGGATGGAAACCCCTACTTGCATCTGCAGTCCATGTGAGTGGTATGATTTTTCGCAACCTTTCACCTTCAGTCTGTGTATGTCTTTTCCTATCAGATGAATCTCCTAGAGGCAGCATATTGTTGTGTCTTTTTTTTATTTATCCAATCTGCTAACCTATGTCTCTTGATTGGTGAGTTTAAGCCATTAAGGCTTAAACATTCAGGGTTATTATTGAGACATGGTTTGTATTCCCAGCCATATTTGTTTATTTTTATTATTTAACTTGACTTGATTTTCTTCTTTGATTAGTTTTTCCTTTAGGATACTACCTCCCTCTATTGATTTTCATTGTTGGTTTTCGTTTCCTCTTCATGGAATATTTTTCCAAGGATGTTTTGTAGTTCTGGGTTTCTAGCTATAAATTCTTTTAACTTTTGTTTATCATGGAAGGTTTTTATATCATCAAATCTAAACTTTAATTAATTTTTCTGGACACAAGATTCTTGTTTTGCATCCACTTTCTTTCAGAGCTTGATATATGTTGTTCCASGATCTTCTAGCTTTCAAGGTCTATGCTGAAAAATCTGCCATTATCCTAATTGGTTTTCCCCTATATGTAATCTGATTGCTTTCTCTTGTGGCTTTTAAAATTCTCTCCTTATTCTGTATGTTGGGCATTTTTATTATAATGTGCCTTGGTGTGGATCTATTGTGATTTTGTACATTCAGTGTCCTATAGGCTTCTTGAATTTGGATTTCTAATTCATTCTTCATGTTTGGAACGTTTTCTTATATTATTTCATTGAATAGATTTCTCATTACTTTGGTTTGGACCTCTAGGCCTTCCTTTATCCCAATAACTCTTAAATTTGGCCTTTTTATGCTATCCCATATTTCTTGAATATTCTGCTCGTGGTTTCTTACCATTATCACTGTGTGGTCTACATTCTTTTCAAGATTATATATTTTCAGGTAAGGTTCTTTTAGTGGCAAATAACAAAGCCTAACATAGTCTAGACCTTAGGTATTTAATACGGTTGCTTACTGAGCACTTACTATGTGCCTTCCCATGTGTCAGGCACTATATAAGGAACTGGAAAGGAAAAAAGGTAAATGTATATTAAGGACATAAAGTCCTGGTTAGAATACTKATTTGCATCGAAACTTCATTAAGAAAGAAATATAACTGGGAACTGGAGAGCTGTTGGAAACCTAGGAAATATTCTTGCTTTCTTATGTATTTTCTTTGCAAAGTAGTTTCAGTTTTCTTCTCTGTTGATCAGCTTTTTCTGCAATAAAACTTTAATGGTGGATTGAAAATGGCTACTCTCAAGCTCCCATGTTCATATATTACTTCCCAAGCCACAAGGACAGATTAGCTCCTGCTGCTTTATACCCCTTTGACCTTTTACTTAATTTCAGAGTATAAGATAGGGATCAACCATCCATCCTTGTCTAAACAGGAGATCAGTTAACAGGGTCACTGTGCCTTGAATAAATATTCTAAATGGTATCTACAGCAAGTATTCTCAACAACTTATAAAAGAGAAAACTAAGACTGAAAAGTATGTTTCTCAAGTTCATGTAACTAGTGCATGCCAGAAATTGGCTTCAAATCCTGGGGTTGTCCAAGTGCAGGGTGGGTATCTCTTTAACTTTGCATATGTGGAGTTTTGCTTGCCTCACTTTAGTCCCAGCTCTGCTAATGCTTCATAGGTCTTTTTGTTATACATGCGTTCCCTTTCCAAAGTTTGTCAACTTCATAAATTTTAAAGAAATGCAATGTTTAAAAAGAGTTTGATGGATTCAGGATATAAAAGGTTTTTCAAAAAAGAGAAGTATGTAATTATATATGCTCTTATTAACTTCTGTTAAAATTAAAATTAAAAATTTTTGTTAAACAATTTGCCTCTCAGATAATTCTACTAAAAGCAGAATCTTACCTTCCCATTCTGTTGGGATATCCCCCACTTCATAGTCTGTTTCTTTTTTATTTGCTGCTTCTACAATCCTTTTTTCTCGAATAGTTTGTCCTGTAAGACAAAAGTGATAAATACATTTTTAAATGAACATAACATAGTAGTTATTACAAATAATGTCTTCTCTTTTGATACTTCACAACCTTGATATTGTAAAAGAATAAAATTAGAAGGAAAAAGAATAGATTCTATTCAGAATTATATATTCAAAAAAAAATTTCTGAACTGTAGAATTTTAAAACAGTCTTCCATAGTATGCAAAATTAATTTTGGTAGCATAAATATAGATTTTATATAAGGAAAAAGAACAATCAATCCTGCAAGACACTAATAACTCATAAAAGAATTTTAGTAAKTGTTTTATGCCTTTAAACTCACAAGTATATGCACCAGAGGTGTCACACGTTGCTGTGACTACCCATTATAGACCATGAGAAATTGGTACTACCCTTGCCCCACAGTATATTGAAAAACTTAATAGATCCAAGCCACAGGATGGGTTCTATGGCCTGAGTTACTACCTCTCAAGGGAATATAATGAAAGAGGGACAAAAAGTGGTGAGCCTCAGATATGGTGCTTCAGGTGTGAGATGGACATGCAGAATGAAATGGCAGAAATGTAAAAACAGGAAAGCAGAGAGAACASTAAAGAAAAAGGTACAGAGGAAAGAAGGATGGGATGAGAAATGCCTATTACTTATATTTCTCAAAAATGAGGAGTTTATCAAAAAACTTAACACCAAAAAAACCCCAAATAACTATGTCAATAAATGGGCTAAAGAACTAAACAGACACTTCATAGAAGAAGAAATTCAATTGACCAACAAATATATGAAAAAGTGTTCAACATCTTTAGTAATTAGAGAAATGCAAATCAAAACTTCACTAAGATTTCATCTCACTCCAGTCAGAATGGCAATCATCAAGAATATAGGCAACAATAAATATTGGCAAGGATGTGAGAAAAAAGGTACACTCATACATTACTGGTGAGACTGCAAATTGGTATTACCACTATGGAAAGCAATATGGAGATTCCTCAGAAAAGTTGGAATGAAACTATCATTTGACTTAGCTATCCCACTCCTCAGTTCATACCCAAAGGACTTAAAATCAGCATACTACAGTAGTGCAGTCACACCAATGTTTATAACAGTTCAATTCACAACAACTAAACTAGAGAACCAACCTAGGTGTCCTTCAATAGATGAATGAATAAAGAAAATGTGGTATATATAGTCAATGGAATATTACTCAGCTTTAAATAAGAATAAAATTATGACATTTGCCAGTAAATGGTTGGAGTTAGAGAATATCATGCTAAGTGAAATAAGCCAATCCCCAAAAAACCAAAGGTCAAATGTTTTCTCTAATATGTGRATGCTAATTCACAATTAGGGGTGGGGAACTAGAGAAGTATAGAGTTACCTTAGATTAGGTAGAGGGAAGGGGAGGGGATGTGGGGATAGAAAGGATAATAGAATGAAACAGACATTATTACTTTATGCATATATGTGACTGCATGATAAATGTGATTCTATAGCATGTACACTCAGAAAATGAGAAATTAAATCCCATCTATAAATGATATATTAAAGTGCATAAATGCATTATACTATCATGGATAACTAATTAAAACAAATAAAAATTAAATTAAAAAATATATAGTTGATTAAAATGTATTTTAAGTTCATATAGAAGGCATAAAACTATTCATCATTTTCTTCTATTTTGAAGTCTTGATTATATCCTTCAAAGCTGCTTTGTCAAAATGGTGGCTTCAAAATGTTTGCCTATCATTCAATCTTTGAGCTGGTGAAACTAGGTAGGCTTTCTATTTCCAACAGTTAACAAGCATGGTTCTGTACTACAGGGAATGTGAGCTGAGACAGAGAAGACACCAGTGAGTAAKGATAAAGGGAGCAGTATGACTTAACAGTGATTAGATCAGTCTTGGATAGAAGTCTGGGCATTATAGGACACTCCTTTCTTCAACCCTCCTCAGCCAATCTTATACCATACTAAGGAGACTGGGCAACATAATTAAAGAAACTGACACGGTTGCCTGCAAATCTCTCTTATATACTTCCTGCAGTTTTACTAACTAAGATTCCTTCATTTGTGGACAAGGGCTCCTGGGAGTGAATGTGTAGGATAAAGGACAGCCTGAGAAGACCAAATGGCTGGTTGTTACTTCCTGTTTTTGGAAGAATAAGTAAAAGACTGGGATTTCATAGACAAGTCATTTAATGGCCAATAACCCTGAAGTATGTGGCCAGGAAAGCTCTGCATTTCATTATAAATTCATTTAACCAGTCTGATTGAATCCTAACATGCAAGTTCCTTAAGGTTTATAAAGAGGAGTTATATTTTCCTCATCTTATGCAATAAACCTACAGAAGGGCAGGGGATTTGTAGTAAATGTCCCTAAGTTATAGGGACAAGGCTTAGAGTAAAAAGAAATATTAACAATGACAGCTGCATTTCTCTGTCATAGCAGAGGCATAATATATATAAATGTATTTTCACTAAAATGCTGTTTATATTCATACATAAATATACCATAACAATGGTTATTACGATAAAGTATACTTCCGTATCAGTTTTCAAAATATTTGAAAGTCAAATGCCTATGTCTTCATATGGTACTTACCTAAATACCCAGATATAAGTATGTTATTTTACCAATAACAGCTAAAAGAAAGAACATGGTCTAAAACAAAAAAATGATAGTACAAAGGATTCTGAAAGWATGTATGTGTGTGGTCTGTAAGGTCTTACGTGGACCTCAAGAGAGTTCAGCACACAAGGAAGGGATAGAGTTCTAGATCTCTCAGAAGCACAAGTGAAGAACACGTTACCAGTGTATCTGTATATATGTGACACACAAAAAAAAACCCAACTTTTCATTCCTATTTTTAGGTCAATAAATTTCATGTAAGGTCTCTCAAGAATTTTAMAAATCAAAAGTCATATCTATTTTTGTGTGTAAATGAAAAGACAGGAACAGTAATTTATGAACTTGTTTAATCCCTTGATAATCACTGAATAAATCTTTGTTTAAAAATAGTTCATATCAAAGTTGTGCTTTTAAAAGTATACATCTTTAAAAATATAAAATAAAACTATGAGTTTATCAGATGAAGTCTTTATAATCATATATTCTTTTCCCCTCAAAACAAACAGTTTTAAAACTACTTCATTCTTGGGAATAAATCCTACTTGTATGATTGATTTTTATAAATTATAAATGAAATTTATATTTCTCATTGAGTAAGAAATTATGTACAAACTATGCACTTACATTAATATGCTTTTGTGCAGTATTTGTAAAGACAACCTAGTTATCATAGCAAAAGCACTTCTATCCTCATGAATAAAGCAAATTGATGTGTATGCTCATGTGTCAAATTTTAGGGTCTAATTTATATTTTAAAATCAACTTAATAATAAAAAACATTTAATTTAATGTGACTTTAGGCTTAATAAATGCTAAAAAAAATAAGAAATTCACATTGGTGTACTCAATGGGCACTAAAAATCCCAATACATAGTTGTTTTACTTAATAGTAAAAAACATTAGATTTAATTGAAACAATAAAAATAAAATTTGAATTCAAGAATACTATAATGGTTAATAGTATATGGACTTGAAGATTAAAGAAATAACAATTTATTTTTGAAACTTAAAATTTTAAAAGCAGGCTACCATTCAGCTAATTGTCCTAAGAAAATGTCAGATTTTCTATTCATTTTGTTTTGAAAAATATGTAACTCATTTAGTTAAAAAAATAAAAGATTTCCAGGTACAGGGTAGATGACAAAAGTTTAGATGGAAGACAAATTTCATCAATTCTACTGAGCTTCCAGGATCAGGATGGAAACCCTGGACACAGATATGGGGAGGAGACTCTAGAGAACAAAGTTCTAAAGCTAGAATCTTATATTCCCATGCCTTAGGCATGTAACAAATTTTGTGTGTTCTTTTCTCTGTTAAAAAAAAAAAAAAAAAAAAAAGTCCTGGGGCTGAGGTTGTGGCTCAGTGGCAGAGTGCTTATCTCACACATGTGAGGCACCGGGTTCAATCCTCAGCACCACATAAAGATAAATAAATAAACAAAATAAAGATATTTTTTTTAAAATAGGAATTTTTCCAGTGTGGTGGTGTATGACTGTAATCATAGCAACTAAGGAGGCASAGCCAGGAGGATTGCAAATTCAAAGCCAGGCGGAGCAACTTAGTGAGGCTCTAAGCAATGCTCTAAGCAATCCTTCAATGTTCTCTTTTTATCTTATTCTGAAAGATACCAATATATGCAGTAGTTATATATTTCATGTACATATAACAAAATAGATATACAAGTTAAGTGTAAAGATTTGTCATGTATCACCTGAAATCATCTTGTAGACTGTACTTGGGAAACCATACTGCAGACCACAGTAGTTTAATCAGAGAGGCTCRGCAACACATATGGTTTTATAGGGCATAAGAAATTCCTGTGGACACAGAATGGTTGATGAATATCAAAGTCTTGCTTGGATGTGTTTACCCTTCATTTCATAACAAATTCCAGGGGTGATCAGATTTTAAAAATAGCTAATATTTATGGCATGTTCACCATGTGAATGACATTCAACTAAATTTTAACTTTGTATGAATAATTTCTCTTAAACTTTACAACTTCATGAGGTTACTATTATTATTTCATCTTATAAATGAAGAGATTTTTAAAGAGAACTTAATTCATTAACTTCAGGTCATTTACTAAGAAACAAGAGTCAAGATGTGAACWTWGATCTTTTGACTCTAGCCCTGAAGACTTAACCACTAAGTTATACTAACAGACTTCAAGATATCTATAAATACTACATCTATAAACCTAACACATTTAGTCAGTAAAATATAACGGCTAAGCTACTATCAAAAGTAACAACTATTTGTAAGAATATTAAAAACAAATTATCTCTAAAAAATGAAAACCACTCCTTTCACTATATTTTTAGAATATAGAAAACTATCTCAACTCATTTAACATAGAAATCCTGAGTCATTC